CCCCAAAACCCCAAAACCCCAAAACCCCAAAACCCCTAAACATAAATGTCATATTGAACTCCTAAATATGCAAAGCAATTATTTAGCTTCCTTCTTTGATCGGAAAAAGCTAGTAAATAATCCAGTCACAACGGTTAACACCAATAGGACTATGACCGGGGTTTGTCTCGGCTTTATCTCCGCCACTTGTGGAGCAAATATTGTGAATATATTGGCCACTAGGTTACATAGCCCAAATGAGAACGATACGAATAAAGGGTGGAAAATCTCAGGATTGACGAAGTAAGCAATATTGAACCCACCTTCAATGAAGAATTTACCTGAAAATACACATACAGCGATTGCTGTAGAATTTGTAATAAATATCAACGGAGTTGCTGATACAAGTGATAAAGCAAAGCAAACAATCAAGGCCTTTTTAGAACCTACCCATTTCTGAATGAAACCTGATCCAAAATTACCTGCTATTTCTGAAATTCATCCTGCAAGTGTGTTGATGTAGATGTTACCTTCAACATATTTTAGGTAGAAGCTGATCATGTAGAAGTTAAATGATACAACACAGAAAATAACAATTACACAGATAAGGTTAAGAAGAGTTCTTTTATCTTTGAGTTCTTGCCATACTGAGAATTCTTTTTCTGGGGTTTCACCCAGTAATGGTTCCTTATCATTGTTCTCTGAGTTGTTCATTTTTGTTCTTGAATTATCATAATTTCTATTACTAAATTCTGATTGGCCTTCATTGTATATATCTTCATTTTTACTATTCTCTTCTATTCAGATCACAATGAGAGATTACCAGAACTTCTTTGAGAGTCAGAAGGAATTATTTCACCTTCAATTTGATATTCCCCCATGCTGACTCCATTAAACCTAGCCATGAACGCTAAATTCTTGCGAAGTTCACCATACTTTCCCTTCTCTAATAAGTACTTCGGAGACTCAGGAACCATCAGAGTCAGAAAGAATGAAAGCACAGACATCACAAGTCCTGCAATATAAAAATGCTGTAATTGTTTACCCCCTGCCATCAAGAAGATGGTTGCAGGAATTACTGTCAACAACGGATCTGCTGACAAAACCCAACTTGCAGCATAAATCTGAGACTTCTTCGGAAGTGACTCAACAACCAAGATATAAATAGCAAAATCTTTGAAACTAATGAATCCAAAAATTAAAAGTCCAACATATTTAGCATAGAGGTTTCTCCAGAAGAACATCATACCTATTGAAATGAAGGAAAGGAGCGTTCCTACAAGAATAGTTTTCTTTCGTCCAAATCGGTCAGATTGCTTCAGTCCAAGTCCACTAAACGCAAATCCCAAAAAAGCAATTGATCCAAGAAGACCAATCATGAAATCACTATAACAGTACAGTTCAAGGTCTGTCATCCAGTTATGAAAGCTCCTATAGTCAGAGTAGTCTATTCTCCACAGGTCCCTATAATGAAGGATTATGTCTTACCTATTAATAAGATTGCTACCATCACAGATATCCTCAACTTCTCAGGTCTCAAAAGTCTGCACGGTTGGGTTCTTTCACTCAAGCTTTGGTACAAGCTCCAAGTAAGCAAGTGTGTAGAAGAAAAAGGTTGCTCCTTGTCTGGCTAGGCCTCCAAATATCATCATAGCCCACTGGAACCTACCGAAACCTCCTGCTTTTTGAATCAACTGTTCAATGGTAAGGGACTGCACTTCTGGAATGCTCCCTTCAAAGGAGAATGCTCTTGACATTTTATAAATTATTCAGTATATCACATTAAACACGGGGTTTTGGGGTTTTGGGGTTTTGGGGTTTTGGGGTTTTGGGGTTTTGGGG